GACTCATGAGACATAAGTTTGGGAAGCCCCTAACGTCGGGGTGATCCGTAACACAGCAGAGCTAGCTGATGGCACTGATAATGGGGGAAGGGCTAGGATTTCACCTGGTTTGTTCTTTCACTCTCGTCTTTCCCATTCCAGCAAGTAACACTCACCTGCCCAAGCCCTGAACCAAGGAGTCACCTTTATACCTCTCCCTCAACCTTACTCATCCAAACAGCCAGGCAAGCCTCCCAAAGTACATCACAGATCTGGCTCTTGCCCAGCATCTCCTGCCACCTCCCTTGCCCATGTCACCATCGGCTCTCATCCAGGCCAGGAGTCAGCCAACTTCTTCTCTACAGGTCCAGATAGGAAATATTTTAGGCTTTGCGGGTCATAGAGCCTTTGCTGGACATACTTAACTCTGTAGCCCTAGACAATATGTTAAACAAGTGGGTGTCGCTGTGTTCCAAGAACACTTTATTTTTAGACACTGAAATTAGAATTTTTATAATTTTCTTGTGTCACTAAATCGTCTACTTCTGATTTTTTTCAACTGTTTCAAAATGTGAAAACAATTGTTAGCTCACAGACGGTACAGAAACAGGCAGCAGGCCGGATTCAGCGTCTGCCTGATTCTGAGGCTCATGCCATCTACGCTACACCATCTCCTTCCCTGGTAGCGTTGGTAAGACTTGAGGGCGGATTGGGGTTTAGGCCCGAGCACTTGGAAAACAAAGATCTGGCCGAACGAGGGAGGGAAGTTATTTTAGGCAAAGGCATCCACACGAATAACAGCTTAGAAATGGGCAGGAGCCTGGAGCTGAGGGATGGTCTAGATCCGCCTGACTGGGTGTTTCTAACCACAGCTGACCTTTGCTTGTTGTTGTTGAGACTGTTTTCTTTAACTTTTAATATCCCATTATTTTAGTAACAGTACTTAGTTCAATGCATGTTGTGTAAGCTTTTCAGCAACACTGCTTTATTTATACCTTTATCTTTCATGGAACATTTTTGTACAGATCTTTAAAAATGTACTTATGTGGGGCGCCTGGGTGGCTCAGTCGGTTAAGCCGGCTCAGGTCATGGTCCCAGGGTCCTGGGATCAAGCCCGACATCTAGCTCCCTGCTCAGCGGGAAGCCTGCTTCTCTCGCTGCCTGCTGCCCCTCCCCCACTCGTGCTCACGCCATCTCTCTAATAAATAAAATCTCAAAAAAAAATGTACCTATGTCTTTGATGATTAATATCTAACATTGTTAGAAACTTTTAAATCTTTGCGGACGATGATTCGAAAAGTCTTCACAACACAGTCCAAGTCCAGAATTTGGAAGGACGGTAATTGGGACCCTGCTCAGCCCTCTGTGGCGGTTTGAGGGAATGAAGCTGATGCAGGCACTTGACCACCTCTCCACTGGGGAGTTGGGATCGCTCAAGGAAAGCCTGCTCTGCTGGGAGCCACAGTCTCCTGCCAGTTTGTAAATAGCCTCGTTCCTAATTTATCTCACTCCTCTTTTCTGAGCCAGTGACCCAGATTCGTTGGGCTGGGAGGCTGCACGCACAGGGTGGTGCAGACGGATCTCCATGTTGCCGTGCTGGAAAAAATGAGGAGAAAATCACGGGCTGCTTAAAATGGGGGGAGAATAATAGAAGAACCCTCACACAGTGGAATTAAAGCAACCAGACCCGTGGTAGTGACTCGAATGCCCAAAGTACCCCAAGCTACGTGTAGGTCCACCCAGATTTGGCTTGTGCCGTGTAAGTGCAGTCTACTTTTCCCACCACTAGATGGCAATCCCGTTTTAAAGCAAATTTTATTCAAGCAATAATGCTGCTAAAGATAAAAAGTAACTGTTTTCACCCCATGATGTTGGCAAAAAAAAAAAAAAAAGTCTTAAAACTCTTGTGTTAGTGAGTATGTGGGAAAGCAGCAAATTTCAGAAAGCACTGGTGGAAGCGTAAGTGGATAGCACTATCTTGGAGGAATTTGAGACTCACGTTCATGCTGCGCATACCATGTGACCCAGCCCCGACACGTCTGGATTTGATCATTTGAGAAGGATGATGACGGCTCAGATTATTTTGTCCCGACTCTGTGCCAGAACCTGCCCTAAATGCTTACCTCATCCAGTCCTCCCAACTCCATGCAGGCAGGTACGAGTATTTCCCTCCCAATTTGCAAAGGAGGAATCCAGGCACACAAAGGTCAGAGCTAGTAAGTGGCAGAGCTCCAGTACTCACCCTGCTTCTAGTACACTGCACGTGCCCTCTGTACACCAGGAACACACGCATGCACACACACACAGAGGAGGGTGTTCACTGCAGCAGTGCGTTAGCCTAACCGCATCAGTGAGACAAGAAAGCCTGAGGAAATACTGCAGAGCGTTAAAGCCATGCAACCAGATCTAGAAGTGGTCAACCCGGCAGAAACTAATGTTGAGATAAAGCAAGCAAATATCAAAAAGACAGGAAGCAAAACTGCGTATTATTCATGGAGCCCAGCGTGGAGAGTAAAACTGTATAAGGATACACTGCAAAGATACACACCAAATTTATGATGGTGTGTCAGGGGTGAGGGAAATAGGACTCCGGAAACAAAAGACAAGGGCTTTTAAGATTATCTGTAATGTGCTATTATTTTCTCTTTCTTTCTAACTACCTGTCTCTGGAGCCAAGAGGCAAAAGCTCAAATCCTACTCTAATCCAGAATATCATTTTATGATTGGATCGTCTCAACTCCATTCCTCAAACCTGACAACTGTTATTGTCAAGCAACCATACAAACCTTTTGCTCCATCAGGGGCATCTCCCCAGAGAGCTTTTCTGAAGCTCCCTTCTATAGTGTAAATCACCTGAGGTTCCACACCTTAGTCTTCCTGCAGCAGCACAAACCCGTAGGCCTGAGGTTGGAAAGAAGGGAGGGAGGATGGGCACAGGGAGCCTTCTGCCTTGTACTTAGCTACTGATTTAAGACAGTGGTTCTCTTTAGGGCCCCAGCTTCAAACTGAAGTGTTTCAAGTAAAGTTCCAACTATTCCCTTGCTTCATTTTTGGGAGGCGGGAGGGGAAGGCAGGTTATAATCAAATGTTTAATTGCTCAGGTGGAAAGACACAGTGATTCAAACAAATTACCCCTAACTCCATTTAAAGCCTGTAGGCAAATTGGTTACCTAGAAACACAATGATTTACAACTAACCATCTTCATTTACCAGAGTCAGCACATATGAAACCACAGGTCATATGGTGACAAGTTTTCCTAGAACTATAATAGGTGTATAGAGGTTAATACTCTCCGATTAAAAGGGGATAATGGCTCTGAGCAAGAGGTCAGGTCTGGGGGGTGAGGATGGGAAGGGGGAAGGCATAACTTTTTTGTATAAAATTGAAAATTGGTTTTTAGTGCCAGCCAGCATGGAGCTTTTGTCAGCTGCTGAATGCACTAAGAATGTGTAGAACTGCAGAGGAAAAGGGTATGTGGTGGATAGCATTGAACCTAATGGATTGTCTCAAAGCCCAAAAGACTGTAACACTATGTCCTGTACTATGAGGGAGACTCCTCACAAGGGCAATTTCTACCTCCTTTAAAAAAAATTTAGGGGCATCTGAGTGCCTCAGTCAAACATCTACCTTGGGCTCAGGTCTTGATCCTGGAGTCCTGGGATCGAGCCCCACATTGGGCTCCCTCTCCCTCTGCCCCCCTGTGCTCTCTCTCTCAAATAAATAATTAAAAATTTTATTTTAAAGGTTATTTATTTGCCAGAGAGAGAGAGAGAGAGAGAGAGCGCACATAGCAGAGAGAGTGGCAGGCAGAAGCAGTAGGCTCCCGCTGAGCAAGGTGCCCGATGCAGGACTTGATCCCAGGACCCGGGATCATGACCTGAGCCAAAGGCAGACGCTTAACTGACTGAGCCACCCAGGCATCCCTCAAATAAATAAAAAATTATTTATTTATTTTTTTTTTTTTAAAGATTTTTATTTTTATTTATTTGAGACAGAGAGAATGAGAGACAGTATGAGAGGGAGGAGGGTCAGAGGGAGAAGCAGACTCCCTGCCGAGCAGGGAGCCCGATGCGGGACTCGATCCAGGGACTCCAGGATCATGACCCGAGCCGAAGACAGTCGCCCAACCAACTGAGCCACCCAGGCGCCCAAATAAATAAAAATTAAAAAAAATATTTTAATTATCCTCATTTAGAGAATCCCTCATCACAAATCTTGTTTCATTTCACTGGAGTTTAATATGCCATATCACTTAGAGGAACAGGTGGTACCCACAATTTAGTAACATACATGCTAATTCTTGAAAAGTTGTCTCATTTAGAAACTCAGACTTGGCTTTCTCCTTCTATGCCTTAGCAGGGAAAAAACTTTTCATTGACATTTCCCTCTCAAGAGGATTGAGACTTCTTTAATTGGTGAGATCTGAGGAATATCAGGATTGTAGTGAGAAACCGGTGTGTTCTTGTCTTTCTGGGAAGCCTGCCCAGGGATTAACTTTGGTTGTTCTCGTACAACGTCTGCCTGGTCAGACTCTGAGGGTCTTGCATGCCATTAGCTTGGGCAAGTCGGTGCAAGACAGGTCCAAGGTATATTTCTATGAACCCTAGAGAACTGTATTAAAATGCAGTCTTGCTGGGCCTAGTCTCCTAAATTCTGGAGGGAGGCTTATTAAAGCAGTGTGGAAAAATCTGCTCTTACAACTTTGAATGATCTCACTTGATTTTTGAGTTTGGAAATGACAAGCTATGTGAATATCTGCTGCTTGAAGAGAATGGAGAGGTGTAATCAGTGAAAGGGCCCCTGCAATCCTGCTCCTTCCTACCTGAAGCTTACTTTCCTTGCCAGGTGACCATGGCAAAGGACGCCTCCTTCTTGTGCGCACTTACGTAGAACTCACACCAAAGCTACTGGGCCAGTGGCAATACTGTGAATTCTGAACTTCTAAATACAAAATCTAAACAATTTCCAGGTTTACAAAATTCTCTATAAACACATAAATCTAAATAAAAAGAAACAGAACCAACAGTCTCATTACTTTACTCACATATTATATTTTATTTCTTATAATTAATGGCTAAGTAAAGAAAAAAACTAATTGTAGCACCTTACTATTTTAAGACCACAACTGTAACTTAAATGCTATCCCATTCCATAAAATAAGGAGCCTTCCCCCAAAGCTATAGCGGGCATTTAAGTTTCCCGATCCCAGTGAAAACTAGTACTTTTTATTACTTATCAAACACACAAAAATTACTGTTCCCCCTAGCTGAAGAATCTCACAAATGATATTTTTTCTTTATGTACATGGTTCATTGATTCAAACCAGAACAGAGCTACTAAAATATCCATGATTATGAATCTCAGACTAGGGTCTGGCTACTCCTGGGGGTTATTTACTGGTATGCTAAGGGGGGGATTATCAACCATGTGAAAATGCTCCATCTTTCCAGAGAGCAATGTTTACTTGAGGCTAAGGAATCACATTAAATATGAAAAAAATAAATTTTTTCAGAAATGTTAAATGGAAGTTTTTTCTCCCCAGTGAAATATATAGAAAACCTCAACTTATATATAAAACCAGTTTTAGGAAACCATGTCGGCAGTAGGATTTGGCCGATGTGATTTCTCCCACCACACACACCGTGGGGGCATGTGACCCCTTTCCTCCTGGGGTACCCTGGGGAACTTCTTGCACACCAAGCCTCACGCCCGCCAATCTTAATTCAAGGACTGGGCATCCTGCTCGGGATACAGAAAGTTCTACAGGGCAGTCCAAGAGCCACCAATGCTGTGTGAATCCTGCTTCCCTTTTTCAGGTAAATGATAAACCATGCTTACTTGTGCTTCTTTTATGTGCTCAAGTCCAACCCTTAAAATCTAAACTTTTCTGGCTTTTTGATCTTTTTAGTTGTAATACATTTCAACAAATACTTGGGTTATGTAGCTCAGATCCTGTGGCATCTCTACCGTAAACAGCAATAGATCTTCCCAAACTGTGAGGAACTAGTGAATGTTCCCAGACATCATTCTGTCCCCTAGTCTGGTTTCTGAATATTCTGGTTCTTTTCCTTCTTTGTATATTCTTCTAGTCGAAGAAGCCACTTGGCCCAGTACTGGGAACAGAGCTCAGTGTCCATGAAATGTGGATGGGCAGGGGATCCATCTTTGTAGGCCACCACAATTAAGCCACACTGAACCTAGGAAGAAACACAGGGCAGTTCCAGTATTTATACAATAGGACCAGAGCTTAGGTTCATTTCCTTCTTGCTCTATGGCAAACTCAGAACAAAACAATCTATAGTAATAGCTCCTGTTTCTAAGAGGGGTTGATAAAAGATTGCACCAGGATACATAAGAACACAAAGATGACAAGATATTGAAGAATAGACTGTAAACACTAGAGCACTATTAGCAATGACAGAAAGCTCAGAACAGGGGGGGAATTGCTTTTTAAGGTGGTAGAAGGACAAGGAACAGAGTAAGCAGTGGAACACAAACAGAATAAAAATCACAAGGAGTTAAGTAGCCATAAATAAGCATCAAGCAAGGCTTTATAGTAAGTTGAGGCTCAGTGTCCTGACCTGAAAGCTATAGTTGACATCATTATTTATGGCACCAACATAGGCCACAACCTGCAGCGGGTTGTCAAATGTATTTCGAATATAAGGTTTCGGTTTCTCCGATGTCTTCCAATCAATCACACACAGCTTGCCCCTAAAGAGAAACCAAAGGAAGTCTTTGTAGTTAATAGTTCAAACTGAGAAACTGTAAGAGGTTGAGCCTCTTCTTAGGTATGGTTTACTCCTTATCACTCAATGATTGTTGCTTCTATTCTCCACTTTCCAAAAAGACGGCTCCTCTGAGCTTTACTTCTGGGAATCAGAGAAGTGTGATGTTCTCTTTCCTTTGATTCCTACGTTCAGGTCAGTAATAGGCCTGTCAGGGGCATGATGGGAAATGCTTCCGGAAGCACACTGGCGAGAGTTACAGGTGCAGACCCATACAGAAGTGCTGGGGAACTTTCCCACAGTTCCAGTTTCTAAACTTTCTCCAAAGTCCTTTGGACCTCCATGGCCTTGTTTAACAGTTGACACGGGAATTGAAACTATGTCTATCACTATCTTAGTTGATCTTATTTCAAATATCTATCAGGAGAACCACAACAGACCAGAAGCAAAGTCCCCGTCATAAATGACAAAAGCATCATGGTGCTCCAGAAATTCTCTTGCTCAGAAACCAAAGCTGGGGTTCAGATCTATCAGTATTTAATAGGCACCAATTATATGCAGAAATACAAATAAGAGTTGGTCCCTACCCTGAAAGTTTACACACAGGGTAGGTGTCTTACTATTAGGGATATTGGAAAAATAAAAAAATTCCTGCCACTTTAAAAAAGTCAAATAACCAGTACATTCCTTCCTATCACCCCTCTCCTGATGGGATTTTATACTTGCCAAGTGCAGATATCAGAAGGATCACAGGGTGAGCAGACTGATAACTGGTTCATTCTGTCTTTCATGAACTTCAATTTCAAGACCAGCAGTTTAGAGGGAGATTTTGTACAAAATATGCATGTTACCCACCCGTTGCCATAGCTCTAGAGTTATAACTTATGCAAGGTACTCATAAAGTCAACCTAGAGTAGCACTAAAAGAAATAAGGTGCAAGCTATATATGTTATTTCAAATTTTCTAGTAACCATATCAAAAAAGAAAATACAGGTGAAATTTTAATATTTTATTTAACCCAAACATACCCAAAATATTATTGGGTATATATCATTATTGGGTAAATATCATTTCATTATGTAATATAAAGAAGTTATTAATGGGATACTTTACATTCTGTTTTGTACTAAGTCACTGAAACCTACTTAGTATTATATTTATAGCATACCTCACTTTAGATTGGCCACACTCAAGTATTTAATGGTTATATGTGGCTAGTGGGTACTCTCTTGGACAGTGCAGGTCTAGAGGTAGTTTTACTGCCTCTGTCAAACTTTGCAATATTACAAAACAATTATAATCTATGCAAATGAAGAGAGGGCCCCAGTATCGCCAGGGGGCTTCACAGTTCTCAACCTGGAATAAATCAAAATACCCTAAAATAAAGATTTCCGACATGGACCACTGTTTCTTGCAACATACTATAACTTGCAGAACTTAATAATGTGGAAAAGAGATTTTTAGTAGTATAAACCTAAATTAAAACTGCACAAAGACAGTTCACAACAAATGAAAAGATGCTCAACCTAACTTAAGTGAAATGCAGACTGAAACCACGAGACAATGTTAATCAATTGTGTCTAATACTGTGTCATTAAAGGTGTGCACAAAGCACACTCACACCTGGGACAACTGAAAATGCCTGTACCCTTTAAGCCAGCAATTTCCCTTTTCGGTATGCACTGGAGAGCAATGGTTTGATACCCTGGGTGCGAGTGACAAGTGCCTGGAAAATCTAAATATTCATATCCAGGCCTACTTCAGACCAACTGAATTTATTCAAACTATATATATGATCCATGAAAACAAACCAACAAGTGAACCTCACACCCGTATACAAGGAGACCCGTACACTGCTGCAATTTGTAATTATGAAAAACTAGAAATAACCTGAATGTTCCCAAAAGGGAAATGGATGTGCTTCATTAATACAAAGGACTACCAGGGGCGCCTGGGTGGCTCAGTCGTTAAGCGTCTACCTTTGGCTCAGGTCATGATTCCAGGGTCCTGGGATCGAGCCCCACATTGGGCTCCCTGCTCTGCAGAAAGCCTGCTTCTCCCTCTCCCGCTCACCCTGCTTGTGTTCCTGCTCTCGCTGTGTCCTCTCTGTCAAATAAATAAATAAAATATTTAAAAAAAAAAATACCGGGACGCCTGGGTGGCTCAGTCAGTTAAGCGTCTGCCTTCAGCTCAGGTCATGATCCCAGGGTCCTGGGATCAAGTCCCGCATCGGGCTCCCTGCTCTGCAGGGAGCCTGCTTCTCCCTCTGCCTCTGCCTCTCTCCCTCTCTCTATCTCTCATGAATAAATAAATAAAATCTTTAAAAAAATAAAAAAAAAAACCAAGGAATACCAAACAACAGTTAAAAGAGAGAACAAGATCAAAATCATCATGCTAACATTTATTGAGTAGTTTGCATTTTAAGTACTATACAGAGAATGTCTCATTTAATCTCTATAACAACTCTATAAGGTAAGTCCTTTTGTCTTATTTTACAGATGAACAAATAGAAGTACAGAGAGGCTAACTAGCCTAAGGTTAAGATGAAAAGCCAGAAACCAAACCCAGCCAGCCTGGCTCCAGAGCCTAATATCTTACCAGCTTTGTGATACTATGTATGTAGAAATTTCTATATATTGTGACTCTCACAGACATGGAGGTAATAATACATGGTATTCTGTGTATGTGTACTATACACAGTGTTGTGTATGTATGTAGAAAGCACACTGGCAATGTGTTGGATATGCACTATCCAGTATGGTGGGTGTGTTAAGTAGTAGTGGAAGTAGCCTAGGACACAGTAGCAAACGTCTCACAGTGATTGTCTTTGGCCAGGGGACTTAGAGGAGGGAAGATGTAGTTACAGGTGATGTGAGCTTAATTTATGGTATATTTAAAAAAAAAATCGGAAGCAGATGTGACAAAGTGTTAATAACTGTTAATTCTGAGTGGTGGAGAATTATTAAAAGAGAAAAGGATGTTGCAGATCTACATAAACTAATAAGGGAAGATCTCTAAAATATTTTCAGAATGAAAAAAAGCAGGGATTGGCACTTTGTGTTAGTAAGTGGGGGTGGAGACAAATGATTATAAATACAGTCATAAAATACCTCAGGACCACAAGAACTTTATCTATCTTTAGAGAGGGAGAGGGAGAGAAAGAGAGAGGAAGGGAGGGAGGGAGGGAGGAATGGGTGGGGGGGCAGGGAGAGAGAGAGAGGAAATCTAAAGCAGGCTCCATGCCCAGCATGGAGCCCCATGCTTGATCTCACGACCCTGACATCAAGACCTGAGCCAAAATCAAGAGCCAGATGCTTAACCGACTGAGCTACCCAGGCGCCCCAGGGTCACAAGAGCTTAAAATCAGAGTGGGGGTGGAGGATTCTGGGAAAATGGAAGAGTAGGAAGCACCAGAAATCTGTAGGCCTACCAAGACAACAATTGCAATGGCAGAATCTGTCTGATAAAATTATTGGATATCTAGAGCCTATTGAAGGCTTAGATGGTAAACTGGTTAATTTTGGTCAATTTCGGCTCTTAACAGCTACCCATCCCCCCACTCCTTCTCATGGGGCAGGCAGCTATACACATGATCTTGGAATAGCACGGTACACAGCTTGTGGGAATGAGTGGACAAAAAGGGCCCCATTCTCCAAATGTCAGGGATCTGTGCTCTCATCACTGATCACTGGTCACAGAGGTGAAGACAAGAGCAGGGTGGCCATTGTTACTGCACCTCCCCCCATTGCCACAAGCCCCTCACCCTCCAACTGAATGACTTCCAGAGGACTTAAAGGGACAATGCCCATTTTTTCCAACCCCTCATTCTTCTCTTTTTCCCCTTTTGGGAATTAGATACTAAAGACTACAACATCCCAAAGCAACTGCATCTATGGGGAAAATTAGAAAGTGACTGTGCATGTCCAGGGAAGGGCACAGGCTCAGAAAAAGACTTGAGAAGACCTTAAGTTTATACTTCAGGCTGATCCTTAGCACAGAGAGAGCCTACAAGAACAGTAACAAAACCCCAAACAAAAACAATGAACAGGGGCGCCTGGGTGGCTCAGTCAGTTAAGTGTCTGCCTTAGGCTCAGGTCATGATCTCAGGGTTCTGGGATCCAGCCCAACACTGGGCTTCCTGCTTTGCAGGGAGTCTGCTTCTTCCTCTGCCTGCCACTCCCCCGCTTGTTCTCTCCGCGCCCCCCTGTCAAATAAATAAATAAAATCTTTAAAAAAAAGAAAATTTAAAAAAACCACAAAAAACCAAAAAAAAATCCCACAATGAACAAAGTCCAACAAACCCTGTGGTAGAGGGAGAACCTGATTTCCAGAGTTACATATTAGATTCAGATATCCAGTTTTCAAGAACAACAAAAATCACAAGGTATACAAAGAAACAGGAGAATATGGCCCATTCAAAGGAAAAAAATAAACAAACTGTCCCTGAAAAAGATGTGATGGCAGTTTTACTAGACAAAGACTTTGTTAGTCTTAAAGATGCCCAAAGACCTCAATAAAGGTAAATACATGGGCGATTATAAAAGCAAGCATTCTTTTTTTTTTAGATTTTATTTATTTATTTGAGAGAGAGAGAATGAGAGAGAGAGCACGAGAGGGAAGAGGGTCAGAGGGAGAAGCAGACTCCCTGCTCAGCAGGGAGCCTGATATGGGACTGATCCCGGGACTCCAGGATCATGACCTGAGCCGAAGGCAGTTGCTTAACCAACTGAGCCACCCAGGCGCCCAAAAGCAAGCATTCTTATAACAATGATTTGTAACTCCACTTTTTGTCTTCTACAGTTTTTTTTTTTTGTAAACTTGAAACAAGCATAAATTATTGCTCTTAGGTTGGTTGATCATACAAATCTTGATCAATGTTTAATGAAACATCAGATAGCACTGGTTCATCATGTTCTTCTACTCTGCTCAAGTGAGCTGCCCCATACAGAGCACTAATTTCAACTAGTGTCTTGCCTGAGTCTGCTG